GCTTGCCTTGCATGCCTGAGGCCCTGGGTTCGATTCCTCAGCACCACATAAGCAGAAAAAGCCAGAAGTGGCACTGTGGCTCAACTTGAGCTGAAGAGCTAAGGGACAGCGCCCAGGCCCAGAGTTCAGGCCCCACGACCGACAAAAAAAATGTTAGCTCTGAGGCCAGGCATCAGTGGTTCTTATCCCTGGTTAATCCTCAAAAAGCCAGAAGTAGAATTATGTGGCTCAAGTAGTAAAGTGCCATCCCTGAGAGAAAAAGCTAGAGACAGCATCCAGGCCCTGAGTTCAAGCCCCATTCCTGGCAGATACAGGTATACACACACACACACACACACACACACACACGCACACGCACACGCACACAAGTAAAATTGAATGAATGAGCCAGCAAGCCTACAGACTACTTTCTGCTCAGGATGAAGGGTCTATGGAGAGCCAGTAGGAAGCCCCCCAACCCCTGCAAAGGATCGTGAAGATCCAGGACAAACTCTAGCTTCCTTTTAGAGGCATCTGAGCCCAATGGGTCACAGGGGACAGAGCATCTAAGCTGGCTTACCTGACATTCACGTTGATCACAGTCGTGAAGAAGCTGGTCTCCTCCACGGAGGTGGATGCTGAAAATGTGGTTGCAGTGGAGGTGGTAGGTACCGTGGTCAACACTGTAGATGGTGCTTAGCAAACAAACAAATTACACACTCCTCCTCCTGCCACCCCGCCCCTGGCACAGCACCTGGCTTTGAACCTGAGAAAGCCACGGGCCACCCTAGCCCCTGGGACTCCCAAAGAATCTGGAGGCTTTGACGCAGGTTGGTGCTGGAAGATGCTAAGCAAGTTTTAGAAGGCTCAGAGGAGGTTCAGAAGAGCGCAGGACAGGTCAGCCGGCATTCAGCTGCACATCAGTCTCACTGATGTGATGGGGGTTTGGCCAGTGCCTCCTTTCAGCCTTCTTCATCAGCCAGGACAGCAGCTGAACAGGGGGCTTGCATGGTGGCTAACTTATGCCACACCAATACACCCTGAACAAGACCCTCATATTCAGGAAGAGACTTTCCTTTGAACAAGTGAAGACTCATTTAGTCCCATAGCTAGCCGGGGGGCTTCTTCCTCTCGGGCTGCTGGTGGGATTCAGTAAGACAAACATGTGCTTAGCTACTCAGGAGACTGAGGATTGAGGTTCAAAGTCAGCCTAGATAACAAAGTCCATGAGACTCTTATCTCCACTGATGAGCAAAAAGCTGGAAGTGGAAGCATGGCTCAAGTGGTAGAGCACCAGCCTTGAGTGAAAAAGGCCAGACCTTGAGTTTAAGCTCTAGTTTTGGCACAAGCACACACACACACACACACACACAGTATGCGCTGTGCTGGCCCTCACACATCCCAGGTAGTGTTTCACTCAGGCTTGCAGGTACTCTGTGAGCCAGTGTCACCTGACTGCAGGGCTACCTGAACAAAAGAGCACAACAGAAACTCCTTCAAACCAAGGCCCTGGGACGCGTCTGCGTCCGGCTCCTGGGAGTCCCTGTATGCAGGAGGACTTAGAAAGGCAATGTCATCAAGTGGCATAAGTGGCTCATAGTAGGATTTTGGGTACCAGCAGTACAGATGTTTGACTATGGAGATCTTCCTAGGCACCCCAATTCTGCTGGGCAACCTTTACGCTCAGGGTTGGAGAAGAAGTGGGAGATGAGAATAGCCCTTATGAAGGCCCTGCCCAGAGCTCCCAGAAAGAGCAGGGCACTCTGGGTACTGAGGTCCCAGGAAGGCATTGGCAGCTATTGGGGTCTCTGGGAAGCATGGAAGGGGGTCTCTTTGGGCCATGGGCTGGGGACCATCACCCTCTCCTCTAGGGCATTAGACTCAGGCCTGGGCTTTGAAGAGGAAGGTGGGAGGCCACCCTGGAGAAGGCTCTGGGCGGTGAGGGAGGGTTGTTTAAGAGAAGCCCTGCCCCTCCCGAACCCACGTGGTCAGCCCAGCTCCCCTGAGCCCTCAGGACTCACGCCCCTCCCTGAAGGGTCATGCTGAGGGACAGCTAATTCCCATGAGTGGTATCTCAGGGACAAATCTTACCTGGGTCGATTGTCACTTGAACTTTGACCCCAAGATCTATTCCAGTTCTCTCGATTCCACACCAATACACATCTGCGTCACTCATCCTGAGATCCTCCATGGTCACCATGATCAAGAAGTTTATCTGGTCATCCGTGATGGACACACGGCCCCTCTTCACCTTCTGCTCTTCTGCACTGGTCTGAACAAGGATCCTGCAGCTGCTCCAACCTGCTCCTTGACACCACCACTTGTTGTAGGTCTTCCACGACGAAGCATATGGACACTGCACGGTCAGGGAGCCCTGCTCTGGGCCACTCACTGTCCTAGGGCCACTGATATCCCTCTCTGCAGTGCAGCAGCCTGGAACACACCAGTCCATACACCTGTCAGCCCCCACCCTGACAACCTGCACCCCCACACCATCGTGATTTGAATAATGGCATGAGCCGCTGGCACCCAATTAGGAATTTTCTTTCTCCTTTTCTTTTCCTTCCCTTTTCTTTTCTTTTCCTTCCCTTTTCTTTCTTTCTCTCTTTCTTTCTTGCATTGGGCTTGAATTCAGAGCCTCATGCTCTCACTTTGCATTCTACCATTTGAACCCCAGCTCCACGTCTGGCCTTTTGTGAGTTAACTGGAGATAAGAATCTAACAGTTTTCTTTTTTTTGGGGGGGGGTCTGGTCGTGGGGCCTGAACTCTGGGCCTGGGCGCTGTCCCTCAGCTCTTCAGCTCAAGGCTAGCGCCCTACCACTTGAGCCACAGCGCCACTTCCGGCTTTTTTTCTTTTTGCTTATGTGGTGCTGAGGAATCGAACCCAGGGCCTTGAGCATGCAAGGCAAGCGCTCTACCACTGAGCCATCTTCCCAGCCGTCTCTGAGATTCTTATCACCAATTAATCAGCAAAAAGCGGGAAATGGAGGTGTGACTCAAGTGGTAGCAGGCCTGAGGCCCTGACCTCAAGCCTCAGCATCAGCACCAAAGAAAATCTGTTTCTTGAGGTGCTGGGGCCAGATGGAGTAAGACTGTCCTCTCGGGGGTGCAAAGGCTCCACCCCACTTTTATGTCTACAAAACCGGAGGACAAAGAGGGTGCTGGGCAGGCCACCAGTAGGGGTTACTGAGTGGTAATCAGGCCCCAGAAGCCCACAAGAACACCCTAGAATGTAGCCAAGGGTACAATTCCTCTTACCCCCATCTGGCTCTTCTGCTCCCCACAGCCCTTGGAAGTCCCCATTGACGCAACACAACTAGAAGTGAAAGGTCAAAGATATATTGGTATAGAGGTAGAGATTTCTTAGGCCGACCACCAGCCATGAAAAACCTGGAGGGGAAAAAAAAGGAACGACAGGAGCAGCAGGCAATCAGTATGGTCGCACACGTGTCCTGCCCAGTGACCCTCGGCGGCTGCGCAGTCCTCACTCTGCCATATTGTCCCTGGCCTGTAAGTGCTCGGAGATGCTCTACGCTGCTCTCCTCTGACTGGGAAGGTCTTGGCAGAGAGAGGGCCTTGCTCCTTTCTGGCACTGTGGTGTCCCCCAAATCCTAGCATCCCCAAGACAGGAAAAAGTAGATAGTGTCTCTACAGGTGGGTCTTTGGGAACCTCTAGGTCCTAGCATCTAGGACAAATGGGAACATAAGGCCTGTCCTGAGGTGACACTCTGGCTGGAGTGTGGCATGCCACACTGGTGGGAAGACAGAAAGGAAAAACCAGAAATGGGCTTGCCCATGGTTTCAGGTGACGGTGCAGAGGACAGGGGGTGGGGGGACGGAAAGACAGGCTGTGGACCAAGGCACAGAAGCCATCCTCAAACAGCAGCACACAGGTGCTCCCAAAGACTGGGACCAGCTGAGCTGGGGGTGGGACATGGGAGGGGCTGGACAGCTGGGAGCCAACAGAGAGTGTCCAGTCTCTGCCCCTGTCTCTGGATGGTGTTGTACACCCCTGTTCTGCATAGATATGCGCTGTTGCTGTGTGGACACCAGAGGCTCTTGCTTATGACACCCCTCATATTGGATTAAGGGCCCACCCTACTTCAGTATGACCTCACCTTAACCAATTACATCTGCAAAGGCCTTATTGCCCAATGAGGTTGCATTCTAGGGTACTGGGGCTTAAGACTTCCGTGTATCCTTTGGGTGACACAATTCAGTCCTTATTAGCAAATAGTTCCAATGGAAAGGGAGGAAGGGCAAGGTGCTTGCCCTTTTACTCTCTTGCATTAGACATGCTGAGCCCGGCAGGGTTCCCAAGTGCGCCCTCTAGAGCCCCGAGGCCATAGCATTGAACTCTGACTCCCAGGAGCCTCTGCTACCCCCACAGCTCCCCTGGTTGAGTCCCATTCTATGCACAGATGACGATGTGGCACGTCCACCACCACAAACTCCTGGCTCTGTACCAGGTCCCCTCTGTCCCTGCTCTGAGCTCTTTTCCCAGCAGCCACAAAGAGCTCCAGCAGATACCAAAATCTCCCCAGGCTGCTGTACACACGAGCAGCCCCCATATACCGCCTCCTGCCACCCACAAGCCAGTCATGCCCCTCGGCCCTCCATCCCCACACAACCTTCAAACAGTTCCTTTGCATGCACCCCGTCCCCTTACACAGAATATTGGGATGAAATATTGGTCATCGAAAATCAACCCAGGCTACAAGTCCCTGAACTCCACCAGGGGCAACCTCAGATACAATCCTCATGCTCTGTCACCAGGAGCTGGCATGACCCCAGATGCCAGGATGAGGGTCCTGTGCCTGATTGGTGAGAAGGTGTGGTACACAGCCCAGGTGTGGTGCAAAGCCCACTGGCGAAGGCAGCCTCACGGTGGTCCAGTCTGGACTCAAGCGCAACAATGGGGGGGGGGAATAAAAGATGACACCCTAGGAAGGAAGAAAGTCCTAGCACCAACTTGGGGCACGTTTGTGAGTCAAGGTGAATATCCGTAAACAAAACTACATTCAGGTGAGCTGGGGCTGGAGTGCACCAGCAAGAAGGAAACCGTCTCGGTGACCGCAGAATGAACTCAAGTCAAAGGCTGCTCGGTGTTGCCAAGGGCGTTTCCAGCCTCTTCCTGTGCCAGCCAGGGGGGCCAGTGCCAGCCAGGGGGGCCCAGTGCCCACCAGGGGCGCCCAGTGCCCACCAGGGGCGCCCAGTGCCAGCCAGGGGTGCCCAGTGCCAGCCGGGGGGGCCAGTGCCAGCCAGGGGTGCCCAGTGCCAGCCAGGGGTGCCCAGTTCCCGCCAGGGGCACTCAGTGCCAGCCGGGGGGGGCAGTGCCAGCCAGGGACGCCCAGTGCCCGCCAGGGGCCCGGGCGCGGGCGCCCCCTGCTGGCAGAGCTGCGCGCTGACAGCGGGACCCCTGCGCTGCTCCGCCGGCATGGACGAGGCCGACCTGCGCCCCACGATGAGGACCTAACCCCAGGCTTGCGATCTTGGGGGAACCGATCCGAGGGCTGAATTTGGCCCAGGCCCTAACGCTCATGAAGCCGGATCAAGGATGCTCAGGGCGCCCCGTCCTGGCTCAGGGCGCAGCCCTCACCTCCCAGGGCGCCCTAGGACTGCGAGCAGCCAGCGGGCGTCGTCGGTGGGGGAGGGATGGCAGGAAGGAGGGAGGAGCCTATCGGGGTCCGCGCGGGGTTAGCGGAGGGG